AGTTTGGTTTTGTCTCTAGTTTTGTGAACCTGTCTTTTGAGAGATAGGGTAAGATGGGTGAAAACTGGAAGAGGAATCCTAGTCCCCATCGTTCTCCAAAAGTTTCATGCGTACAAGTTCCTCCATCGGCTCAGGATACCTACTTACTGAAGGTAACAGACTGATAGAAAACAAAGCTCAGTTTTCTCTGTGTTTCACTCACAGGGCATCTCACCTCTTTTGCTTAAATGAAACAAAAATGTCCCTTGGTTAGGTAATAGAAGAGCTAACTCCTATCTGATTCGAGCTGCATAGAGTATAGCAGCCCTTTCGCATCCCTTAGACGACATTGTCACCTTTGCATCCATTCATATATTTCATTTCCTTTTTCTCACGTGCTTCACAGGAACTAATTCCAGGGTTCTGAGCAGGCTGTAGAAATGAAAGGAACAGGAGGGACCAGAAACAATCTGAGGCTCAGGCCGAGAAGGCAACAGTAGCTGGAAAAGGAACACCAGAGACCAGAAAAGATCTGGCATGCTATGAAAAAATAGTAGCAAGCCGAGGAAGACCCACAGCTTGAGAGAAAGTATGCATACCCATCCTCAGGACAGTGTCCCTCCCAAATGCAATGATATGTTCCAACTGCAGTTTGGGCTTTTTTGACAGTCTGCATTGAGAGGTGAACCACAAATCAGCCTCTATTTCAAGCATTATCCAGGATATGAAGAAACATATCTGGAGGCTAAGCAAGAGGGTCAGAGCTGAGACACAGAGTAAGAGGGAAAACAACAGCAGGACAGAAAGTTGGGCATGTGAGTGACTGGAGGAGAGCCAAACAGGCATGCAGATATCATGAGGATAGTGAGAAGTACCAAGGACTTAATCACATCAGGAGATCAGTGTCTGCTATTTGTATCCTAAAAAAAGTGAGTCAGACACTCAGAAGAGAGAAGGTGCAGAAGGCAGAAAACTCAGCACAAGTCACATTATTGTAAGGATCTGCTTACCCATGGGGAGCAGAGGTAACATCTTAGAGCAGCAGTTCTCAAACTTCAGTGCACCGTTAACCTCTTCTGACAACAAAATTATTACACAGCCCCAGGGGGAACAAATCCCAAGCCCCACTGCCCTGGGTAGGGGAAGAGACCAGGGAAGAGCAAAAGTGAAGTCTTCTGTCCTGGGAGGGAACATGTAACCTTAGCCCTGGGCAGTAGGGTTTGGGCGTGGGCCCAGGCTCTGGTCCCCTGAAAGTCCAACAATAGCCTTGGCAACCCCATTAAAATGAGGTTGGGACCCACTTGGGGTCCCTACCCACAGTTTGAGAACTCCTGTCTTAGAGGGAGCTGTCCATTCTTGTAGTCTAGTTTCTGAGTATATTTAAATGGTTCAAGATGTTGCAATTAAAGCTTGTCTGTAAAGGTTAATTGCTGCTTTATTTAATAAAATCCCCTGAAATAGAATAATAGACCTAAATCCCCTTGTTACTGTTTGAAATCAGTTTAGAGACAGATGTAAATTTAGTCCTATCTGTTAAACTGCCATCAGCTGCCTTGTTCTGACAGGACCTGAAGCGAGGCCAGAAATGCTACCTCTATAGCATCATGAGAGTTTACGACAGCAAACCTCTGAGGGAAATGCTGTCCCATCGGTACAGGCTCAATCTCCAGCACCAAAATTTGCTGGGTAAGTGTCTGCTTGCACTACAATGTGCATAGGCAGTCTAGAGAAATGGAATTCTGGAGGATAAACGTGGGATTTGAGTGGATTAGAAGGAGAAATTTATGGTGACTCACAAAATGAAGCCTGGAATATTTTACGGGCAGAGGTTAGGAAGCCTTTAGCTGATGAGTTCTGCTTTCCTCAGCAGAGACCATGGTCACAACAAGTAGGAAACACTGATGTTATTTATTCATTAGCGGAGTACAGGCAGTCCCCGGGTTACGTACAAGATAGGGACTGTAGGTTTGTTCTTAAGTTGAATCTGTATGTAAGTCGGAACTGGTGTCCAGATTCAGCCGCTGCTGAAACTGACCGCCAGTTCTGACTTACATACAGA